TCCAACAAATGCAAGCTGGATGAGCATGAAACGGTGAAGTTGACAGAAGAATGCAGTGCTAGAATTCAGAAAAAGTTACTTCCAATGCTAAAAGATCTAGGGAGTTTTACTGTACCCTGCACTATCGAAAATTGCTATTTTGAAAAAGCTTTATGTGATTTGGGTGCTAATATTAATTTGATGACACATCTATTTTTAGAAAACTAGGATTGAGGGAAGCTAAGGTAACTACGGTAATCCTACAACTGGCTGGTTGATTACTTACTCATCCACGAAAGATGTTTTGGTAAAGGTGGAGAAACTTATATTTCCAACGAATTTCTCATTCTGGACATGGAGGAAGACAAGGATGTGCTAGTCATTTTTGGTTGATCATTTTTAGCTACTGAAAAAGCTCTTATAGTCGTATAGCGAGATCAATTAATTCTAAGGTAGGGAAAGGAGCGAGTCTCTTTCAATGTGTTCAAAGCCATGAAATATCCTACTAAATCAGGCAGCTATTTCCAGATTGAGATGGTTGACAGAGTAATTCATGACACCTTTCATTTGCGGAATTTGTCAAACACTTGTAAGGTTGTATTGTGAATTCTCAATCCACTTACACTAACTCCAATGAGATTGAGGTTTGTGCAATATATATGGAGATAAATCTTCCATACAAGTAAAACGAGATTATGAGGAGATTTAGGTCTACATTGTTGAATTTAAAAGAAAAATGAGGGATAGTCATACTACTTAGGGAAGGGTGAGATTAAAATTTGGAGGAAAGTTGACGTATGAAAAAAGGTCATATTGAGAAAACTAAGTAGGACCTTTAAGGCTATATTCAAAGTATTATAACATACTTGTGCCAAAAGTCAAGCTCTAGACTATAAATCGAGCGCTTAATAAGAGGTAACCCATTCTTCTATCCATCTTCACTTATTTGATTAGCTATTGCATTAAACTATGTTCAAGGATTGCATTAGTATTCAGGAACATGGTTAAGAACTTATGCATTTAATGATTTTTATCAAAATTTAGGTAGTATTTTAAGACTAATATTAGTAACTTGGCATGTTTACTTATTGAATTCAATTTACTTAGGCTCATCATTAACATCCTAGCATTACATTGAGCTACATTGATGTGCTATACACATTTAAGGCTACAACTAGATTTCAATCTTCTTAATATCAGAAAATCATGAGAATACATTACAAATATTTAAACCTTAATCGCTCTCGTTAATATTTATTTTAAATCTTGCAATAGAAAATTGAAACTTAGCAATAAAGAAAAATGGTAGTTGTCATGATATCTACTAACTGGACCAACCTGGTCCTTCTACCTATCCGCATATACAATGAAAAGTTTCTGATCCTTACTACCTTATTGTAATTACTTTTGCTTTTACATTGAGGACAGTGTTTTGTATAAGTTTGCAATGGCATAATCTTTACAACGACATTAACATTGATCGATATTTGTGTATAATTTACTGCTTTTTTGTATGATTGTTTGTGTGAAAAAAAATAAAATAAAAAATTGTGGTCTTTATTTATTTTTATTTATTATTTTGCGTGCTTGTGTGGGTTTGATGGCCTTGCTGGAAATGACGTTGAATATTGGAATAAGTATGAGATAGGAATAGTGGAAATAGTGCGCGAATAGAGTAGCAAATACTTGTTTATGATAAACTTAACATTTTTTGTGCACAACACTCATGTTTTATATGTTAAGTTGGAGATTTGATTCATTAAAAAGAAAAGAATTGAACAGAATAGTACCTTAAAAAACCTCTATTATACTTATCTATAATCCATGTTTCGGTAGTTCAGAATAGGGGTTTCATGCATCAAATTTTCTTGTGTGGATTGTCTAAAACAAATGAGAAGAAGATGAAGTTAAAGTCTTAAGTTAGGGGTTGGTTTTGGAAATTAATTGTCTAAAAAAAGGGGCATAGCATCAATTTGTATGTGAGTAACACTTCTCTCAAAGCTTTTATGGCTTGATAAGTAAGCCTGTAAGGATATTTGAAAATTTGGTGCCCTAAGGTAAGGATATTTGATAATCTGGTGCCCTAAGGTCAACTGATTTGGGAGTCAGTGGACTGAAGCTTGCTAAAATAGTTATATAGAAAGCAAGAGGTGAAGAAGCTAATAAAAATCATCTTCTCGAGTCTTTATAACTCAAGTGAATAAGCATGGAATGGTTAAAAATCTGGTGCCCTAAGATCAATTGACTTGGGAGTCACCGGTCTAAACTCGCTACATGAGTTATATAGAAAGCAAATGAAAAAATACCAGAGAGAGAGAGAGAGAGAGAATAAGTATAAGTGAGGAAAAACACAATTGCATTAATTGAGCCACAAAACATTTGGTTGCTAAAACTATACCCTATACATTTAAAGAGATGGAAATAGCTTAGTTTAATCTTAAAGGTTTGAAGCAATCAAAAATAGGAGAACATCTACTTAGTGAATGGTGAACTACGTAATAGTAAGATCTATTCAAATTAAGAGAGTGTAAGGATTAGAATTAATTAAACTTCAACATTAGAACACACCCCAGAAGAGTTGAGTGAAAAGAACATGTTTGAAGGAGTGTGTATTTCTTGAGTAAAGAAATGAAATACTTGAACACTGCATGTTGGAAGTTGAACCAATCATGAGCTTGATATGATTTGATGAGTTTACACACATACACGTCTAGTAGTACATATAACAGGTAGGGATTGATTTGATTTTGTACCATTGAGATTGTTCATTGTGTTGATTACTGAATTTTAATTCTGAGACATGGCAAGTTATGAAACCATGTTTTGTATGGATGTAAGCTACACTTTTGTTTGCGGACAAACTATAATTCAAGTTTGGTGGATTTGACAAGTGCATTTTACACCTATGTAGATCACAAAATATGAACAATTGTTAGTAAATCTGTTAGAATATGGCCTAATTCTATACAAATTGTGTTTTATAGGATAACATCGATGAATATGACTAGATTTAGAAGAAATGAGCGAAAAATGATCAAAATTGAAGAAAATAAAAGTTCAGAGACCAAAGTGCAAATAGTCAAAAGATGACCTGGAAGACAAAATGAAGAGGTGAAAGTTTGAAAGGCCAATTTATTGAAGAGATAAAGTATTGGAAGAAGAGAAAATGAGAAAAGAGGTCAAGAAACGAGAAGACAAAGTTTGAGGGCTAAAATGCAATAAATTGTGGAAGATAGTATTACTATGCGGTCACATAGTATGTTTTTCCATGCGACTGCATGGTGATTATCAGTAACTCGAGACCTGAATTTTCTTGAACTATGCGATTACATTGGTTTGTACTATTTGGTCGCATAATACTTTTTCGACGTGAAAATTCTGATTTTTGTAATTGATTAAAACTCCTATGAAAACAAATATTGGGATGTCTTTTAAAGCCCTAGGACCATCCTGAAAGAGAGACAAGGCATTATAACACATTGATAAGTGATTTTAGAGGGGAGATTGAGGTAAGAACGTGAAGAATGACTTGAAGATGCAAATATTTAATTCAAAATTTAAATTGGTGATTTCTTTTCTTTGTTATTCAGTTTGTTTTCTTCTTTCTACCATGTTAGGCTAGATTTGTTTGTGCTAGGAGGACAATGAACCATGTGATATGCCTTTTTAATCTTTAGTTTTACATTCTTGACATGAAAACACATTTTTGGAATTTTAATGGTTTATATAAATTTATTGTCTCCACAATACGTGATTATGTGAATTTAGTGGCTTATTTCATGCATTCAAAAGAAGGGGAATAGGCTCGACATGGTACAAACCATCGTAGGGTTTAACAGGGGATATAAATATACTGCTATCTCTATTTGCATCTTTAGGTGTTCATTAAAATTCATGCATTCTTGTGTATTCACATCCAGTATAGAAATATACTCGGGTCGTATATGAGAATAGGTTTAATATTACTCGAGAGAGATTGATGAATAAAATATGAATATTGACAAAATTCAACCGTGTTGTCAAGATGTAAAACTAAGTTTAAAATGAATTATTGCATGGAGATTCGCAATCCTAGTACGTTTATTATTCATTAGAACACTCCAACTTGCATTTAGTTAGTTAAATCACTTATAAATGCATACGTAATTTAGTTTATTTATAATTTGCATCACAGCAAACACTCTCATTTTTATTGTTTCAATTAAGGTCATGGTAATAGAAATTGCACTAAATGAATCCTTGTGGGACAATATTTGGACTTAAAAAATTTTACTTTATTACTTGTTAATGAACCGTACATTTGTTATAATTTTACATCAAAATACATTTTAGTGAATAGCCTCTTCAGTTTAGTAATTCTTCTAAGATGCACATATGTGGAAAATGCAAATAATGCAAACTTGCCATGTCTGTAATCCTTGTTAAATGATTTTGATGTTACAATTGGGGAATCATACCAATCCCAGAGGCTTGATGAATCACATATCTCCTTAATGGAGGAACCATCAAAGATATACCTAAAAAACATATAGTAGTCGACAAGGACTACTTGGAGTGGAAAACGGGCTGGGTCGGGCCAATTTTTATGCAAACCCAACTTGACCCGACTTAACCGATTTTGGGCTATTTTTGTAAATCGACCCAACCAGATCGGTAATAGAAACTGAACCGATCCTTCCCGACTCAGTTCAGGCCGGGTCAACAATTATTTTATTTTATATTTTTTTCTTTTCTCGATTAGTTTCAAACTACCACATGAATCCTTATTTTCCCGAAATAAAATTAAAAAAAATTCGATCTTTTTTCTTCCAGTTGATGATAGTTTGTCATTTTCATAAACAATGATAGCGTAAAAAATTCAACCAAAACAAGGTAATTTAAATAAACTAAAAAAATACTAATGAAACTAAACACAATCAAAATAGCAATCAAGCATGAAAAGAAAATTTAAATATTATAGTTATCTGACAATTAAAAATATTACAGTAATCCAAACTCAATAAATAAAAATAAAAATGCTACAATAATCTAAAATCAAAACTCATAAAACAAATATAAGGTAAAAATGTTGCGACTTCCAAGTTGTCACATAAGCTTTAAGCATCATTCCTACAATACAAATAATAGAAATAGTTAGAGAAAAAAATGAATATTACATTAATAAAGAGTTATGCATATTAAACAACATATCTACCTCAAAAATTTAGAAATGAACTAATCGCATTGATTTAGCATTTATTTGATTTTTCTGTTTCTAAAATCTCTACAAAAAATAATGATTAAATTATGAATAAATTTGATTAAATACATATTTAACATAATTTATGGAATAACTGCATTACCTTCATCCAACTTATTATATTCCTCCACATCTTCCATATAGAATTTCTCCAAGGTTGTAGACTCTTTAATCCAATTTTGTGTACACACCAAAACTTTCACCATCCTAGGTGTTAAAGAACTATGAAATGGATCGAGAATTCTTCCTCTGGTACTAAAAGCACTTTCTGAAGCCATCATAGACACTTGAATAGCCATTACATCTCTTGCAAGTTTTGACAATGTACCATATTTGTTTTCATTAAATTTTCACCAATTAAAAACATCAAAAGCATCGACCTAGATATATTCACAAGCATCTAACAAGTATCCATCACATCATTTTTCAATTCAACTAAATCTTTTGCTGCTTGTGTTCTCTTAAACCTAGAAAGACGAGAAAGAGAGACACTTGAAGTGGGACCTTCTTTTGCAAAAGAAACCTCACTTGAAGAATTCAAGTCACTAGGTACTTGATTGCTTTCAGATCTTGTTTCACATCTCACATACCAATCATAAATAGACATCAATTTATCTTTCAAAATCTTTGTCATATTACAAGCAACTTCCTCATCACCATAAATATCATCAAAACAAAAATCAGCATATGCCAATTTGTATCGTGGATCAAGCACAGTAGCAATCAACAACAGCTGATTAACTTTTCCATTTTTCCCAAGTACTTGTCAAACTTTTTATTCATGTTAAATTTCATCTAAAAGAACATCACCAATTGAACTCAATTGTTCCAATTCGGTTACAAGTGAACGTACTTCATGAAAATAAACATTAGAGCTAACATGCATTGAAGTACTAAACTTCAAAGTTACCTCACTTTAAGGAATTTTACAAAAAGAGAAGCATTTTCCCAATCAAAAGCTGTAGGAAGCCCACTCCTTCTTCTGCAACCATCATACTTCTGAAAATAATTTACATACTACACATCATCCTCTTCTAAACTTTCAAAATCATTTTGAAATTTTAAAGCGACTTCCAACATCAAAAATGTGGAATTCCACCTCACTGGTACATCCAAAACACAATTGATTTACAATCAACTTTCTCTTCACTCACATACTCCTTAACTTTCGTTCTCTAGCAGGAGAAGATTTAACATATTTTACAACATTGTAAATACTAACAATTGAATCATGTGATTCCCTCAACCCCTCACACACAATCAAATTAACAATATGCGGATAGTACTTCATGTGCAGATACTTTTCATCTAAAACACACCCATCACCACTTTGACCAATCATCTTCCTCTTAATATAAGAAACTACCATTTCATTTGTAGTTGCGTTGTCAACTGTGATTATAAACAATCTTTCAATACCCCATACATTCAAACAAGTCTCAATACCAATGGTTTCACCCTTATGATTAGCAATCACACAGAAGGCCAAAATCCATTTATGAAGCTTCCAGTCACAATCAAGATAGTGAGTTTGTGAGAGACATATAATTAATATTTTGAGAGGAACTCCAAGTATCAGTAGTGAGAGAAACTCTTTGACGTTGGATGATCTTTTTCAATTGCAATTTCTAATCCAAATACAACTGATAAATATCTCTAACAATAGTTTTATGAGACAGGGGATCAAATTTAGGACACACTACCTTACAAAATTGTCTAAACCCCTTACCTTCGGCAAAGCTAAAAGGTAATTCATCCAATATTATCATCTTAGCACATCGAAGCCTACACTCTTCCTTATTAAAGCCAACTAGAATGTTCACACCACCCTCAGTTAGGCTTTTTTGTAATTTAACGTCGAATCTTCACAGATACTTCTTACAATAAATAACCAATTGATTCCTCAAGGTACTAGTCCCATACTTTTTAGCCTCACAAGCATAATCCTGCCCACAATAATTCCATACACACCTAATATCTTCTTTTTCCCTAAACATGATGGTGGAAGTGGAGGAACCAATGTTGAAGGAGTTTCACCAATAGCTTCAATTTCACTATCTTTATCCATGTTCATGTCTATACAAATCAAACAAGACATACATAAATAAATAAAAAATTGTAGAAAAGAAAAACATGGTCCATGAACAAATAGGCCATTATTAAGGATAAAAAATTCAATATCAAAATCACCTCCAAAATCGCATTGCGATGCAAGTAAAACGAGATAAATAATTAAAAAAATGAAAAAGCTAGAGAGGACAATTTAAAAAGGGTTTTAGGTTGGGCTGGTAAAAGAGGAAAAAAGACGACTTTTATTAAACTTGGCTTTTTATGTCCAAATCCACAATAAAATTGAAAGCTTCAAGTAATTACAGTAAAATTTTACTTTTCTATTACACTACTAAGTAGTTCAGTTCTATATTCTGTAAATTTTCCCTACTTAAAAAAGAGAAATAGAAGCAACCTTTTCAGTTTAGGTTTTGCAGCTTCTCGGGTCTTCCTCTTAATTTTTTGCTGCGTACTTTCAAAAAACCTTCTGTGCTTGCATTCCAGAAGAACACCCGCCTTCAACACCTCCCCGTCGAACCTGCCAACAAATTTCTTTTCAGGCTCATTTACACCGATAAGAATCTAAACATTCCAACTACACTTAAACAATATCGGCTTATCTCTGTATAAATAAATATATTAAAAAAAACTTGACACAAATTGTTAATATTTATCCATGTCTTACATAAATATACTACATACACATATAAGGAATGTTGATTAATGAAGAGGGACGTATATATTAAAATCAAAGAAGAAGAAACCCACAATTGAAGGAAGCTTTCTGTAAAGATGAAGGAGATGGTCTGAGGTTCCAATGGCGATACGTATATGGCAAGGGAGGCTCAACTTTGAAGTTGAGAGAGAGACATCACGAGAATGACAAGGAAATAGGTTTTCTCCTTTCGATAACGGGTTAGGTCGGTTTGGAAAATTTGAACAGTAAACCCATTAGGGAATAAATCCCACATCGATTAAATATCGAAATATTGATCAATTTAAATATATTTTGGATCACTCCTCTTAATAAGGTTGATCTTATTAAGATGGACCCCAAATCTTAACATGGTATCAGAGCCCAATAAGCTCCAACGAACTATTCGATCCGATTAAGTTTCAAAAATGAGCACACGAATTTCAAGATTAGTCGGCTAAAAAAGAGCCATCATCTTGCCGAGGCATATTAAGGGAATAAATCTCACATCGATTAAATATCGAAATATTAACCAACTTAAATAGATCTTGGGCCACTTTTTTTAATAAGGTTGACCTTATTAAGATGGACTCCAAGTCTTAACAAAACCAACCCGACCTATCTAAATTTGAAAATTAAAAATGAACCAACCTGACTCGTTTTGTTATAACCGATTCATTCATAGTCAAAGTTAAGAAAAATATTTAGTAAAAGTCCAAAATTCAACGGGTCAAAGTAAAAGTCAAATAAGGATTCAAGTTGAATAAATTATTTTCATGAGTCTTAAGTTGTAATTACAAGTATTTGAGGGCTAGAAATAACATAAATTAGAAATCAAAGGGATTTAGCTTTCTGTTACTAGAAATCAAAGGTTTGAAAAGTATATTGCATGAAGATTGGGGACTTAAATTGCAATAATTTATTGGTGCTCCATTAAATAAGTTAATCAATTCTAAATTGAACCCATCTTTCATTTGGGAAAAGAAGAATCAAGAAGCAGGGAGAGAAAAGGAAAGAAGAAAAAAAGGAAAGAAGGGAAAAAGACAAAAGTAGATGCAAGTTTTTACATGTTTTGGTTCTTCATTTCTTCAACATGTCCTTCCTTTAAAGAGTTATGTTAATTAAATTTTTAGAATTTATAAATAATTGTTTATATTCAATTTAAGCAAGAACTAAAGGTTATTGATATGTATCTTAGGTATTAAACAAGAAGGATTATATATATTGGAATATTTGTGTTGAAGGGAAAGAAGTATGAAATGAGTTTGTAAATTAGAGCCTAAATCTTTATATCTATTGTGTATATATGATATAAAACAGTTTGTTTTATGATGTATTACAATGAGAGATGGAGTTGATGTTGGATTTTTGTATTTATAATTAATTTTCGGGCAAAATTCATGCTCAGGTGCTATTTTCCAAATTCATTCTAGAAAGTGTTATTTCTGTTAATGATTTCGGTGACACTTTCCAATATATAAAAAATGGCGCCACAGTTTGATAGCCTGGAAATATAGTGTTGTTTTTGGTATTTTTTTGATTTTCTTGGATTTTTAGTATGGAAATCAAATTTAGTATTAAATATTCGGGATTAAGTGTTAAAATAACTTATATAAAGGTGGATATGTTATTAGTGACCCTAATTGGGATTATGACGTTACATTGAAAGTAAACGACTCTTGAGTTCTTATTGGTAAAATATCATTTCTAATAATAGGAAAAATGCTTAAAGCACCTTAGTGATGAGATATGATTTCTTGGGACGAGTGCTAGATGTCATAATTGGTATGTGAATGTGAGGAGGTGACGAGAAGATTGAAGTCAAGATCAATTTACAACTTGGTGAGTGGAAAAGCTTATTTTTCAAAAATAAGTATTTATTAAATTCATATTAGATCGTAAAGTTAATTATTCATATAGTTGGTTTGACAACATAATTTTCAGAATAAAGTGGATTTTATTGCAAGTTTTTTTAATGTTAAATTATGTTTAGTTAAATCATTTCTTTAACATATTATATGAGTATTATGAATAGTAGCTGAGTTGAGTAGTGTTGAAGCATGTTGATCTACCAAGTTGAGCCACACATTATCTTAATTGTATGACTCGTTTGGTTAGTTTATATAGTTTCATGATTCTTTTGTGAAACATGCATGTTACCAAAAAAAAGTTAATTTGTAATTCATGTATCCATATTATGGGCTCACTGTATTTTTGTAAATGTTGTGTATTTGGAGTCTTTTGGCTTGTAAAGGAGTGTAAATATAATTCCATTACACTATATTTTGAATAGTTGTGTTTTGAGGGGCCAATATATCCTATTTTAAATTATATGTACATGTTTGAGAAAATTGATTATTGTTCAGATGATTTCAGTCCATATTTCAAAGAATACTCTGTCAAAATTCTTTTAAAAATTCATCACGGTCAAAGCAAGTTAAGGTCGCCTTGGTGGTGGGTTCGGCACTTAGCTGGTATCCACTATCGGTGCAAAACACATGTCAGGTTCATTAGGGTGATTTGGAATGGGTCGTGTCACGATTGTCCTCTTTTTTAAAGGGAAAATTAGGCCCAATACCCTAAAAAATCAACCAATTTGATTAATACCTATTAACAAATAAATCATTTAAGCACGTATTTAATACGTTCTAAAACCACCCAAACGCCCAAAACCTAAATTAGTCCTAATTCTAAAAATACACTTAGGATGAAATTCCGTCACTCAATATCAATATAGATTACTCATTTTCAGGTTGTTATATTGCAATTCACTTAGGGCGAGAACTTAGCAATATTCAGTGGCACCTTTGAATTAGCGATGGATAATGCAAGTTTTGAGAATGGTTCTTTAATGAATATTGCGAGGTGCAGTGTTTCGGAATGAGTGAAGGATTATGAGTGTAATGCTTCGGAATGATCCTAATTCAACTGTGCATCTGGGTGGAGTGGCGCAACGATCGCGTTGGCTGTGAGGATCAAAAAAAATGGTTATGTTCATTTGGGTAAAGTGAGCTTTGGAGGTCAGTGGGGATCTGGTGGAATATGAAATATGTTTATAATCCTATATTTTATATTTAGTTGCAAGTATTGTATATAGAAAAATCAGAATAATAATATAAACCTCAGAAGAGAAGTACAATATTCTAACCTTCTTGATTTGTAGAAGAACCGTAATAAGGTTGGGATTTATGCTGTCCAAAATCAAGCCTACTGATTAGACTAATTAGAGCAAATAAATTTGAGTGTGGTACAAAAAGCTTTTTGTATGTATGTGCCACTATAAACTCTGGCACTACTTTATAACTTTGATTGCTCTGAAGTTAAAACTAAAAGCTTTTGGTTCAAACATAGTGCACATATCCCTATAGCGACTTCTTTTGGATGCATATAGCACCATGTTTTGTCATCTCTATATTCATTCATTTCATTATTAGTTCAAAAGCGACTGTGGAAGGAGGGGTGGGGAAGAGGAATAAAATGAGAAGACAAGATGAAAATGTATGTCTACAGTGTTTATGTCACTCTTAGAGTGACAAACATAGGTTTTAATCGATACTTTGTCACTTTGTTTAGTCTTCGCAACATTTTGAATATTTGCCACATTTTTTAATAGTGCTTGCCATTTTTATTTTTCTTTTTTTTTTTTGTTTAAGTTTTTTGTCACTTTTTATTGTTTGTTACAATTTAAAATTTCTGTTTCTTTGTGTGTAACAAATATAGGTTTTGATTGGTGTTTTGTTACTTTTTGTGTATTTATCACTTTTTTCTATCACTTTTTTAAAACTTAACAACTTTTTTATTGTTTGTTAATTTTTTAGAATTCTGTCACTTTTTTTGAGTGACAAACATAGGTTTTTATTGGTGTTGTCACTTTTTTGAATTTTTGTCACTTTTTTTACTAATGCTTTTCACTTTTTTAAATTTTGTTACTTTTTTTAAAATTTCTATCACTTTAAGTGACAAACATAGGTTTCAATTGGAGATTGATTTTTTTTTTTTTTTTTTTTTTTTTTTGGCGTTTGTCTTTTTTTAAATATGGTGCTGGGAACCACATTTCTACTTCATTGACCTCAAATGGAAAGCACAATGTCTCATTGACTGAGGATTCTAATGTTTACATATGGAGCTACAATCGTGAACCATATTCTATCTCGCAACCCATTATATCATTTGAGTGTTTCTCGTCTGACACTTTTGTGACAATACCTTGGTATGGCTTAAAGAGTATTTATGGTTGTAATGATTGTGTTTGGATTGAATTTGAATAAAATGAAATATTTTAAGGTTTTGATCAATGTTTCATCACTTTTTTTTTTTTTTAAGTTTTATCATTTTTTTTTACTGTTTGTCACTTTTTTTAATCTATGTACCTTTTTTTAATTTGTGTCAATTTTTTAAATTTTCTTCACGTTTTTAAATTTTTGTCGCTTTTTTAGTATTTGTCACTTTTTTGAATTTTTGTCTCTTTTTTTAGTATTTGTCACTTTTTTATCAATGATGTTATTGAAATTCTTATCACTTTTTTTAATGACAAATATCATATTTTAATAAAAGTGACATTGTATGTCATTTTTTTAATAAAAAAGTGACACTAAACTTTCAAAAGTGACATTGTCACTTTTTTAGAGTTTTCATCATCTTTTAAGTTTTTGTCACTTATTTAATAAGATAAAAAGTGACATGATATGTTACATTTTCCTAACATAATTCGCGTATGGATTGTCTTGGACATGCTGATTATGTTAACAACCGCCACTACGCTCGTGTAGATTATCGTGAATATGCTGATTATATTAAGAATATTATTACTGGTTCTACACAAATGGATGGCGCTATTTTTGTATTTGTCATTTTTTTGAGTTTGTGTGACTTTTATTTGAATTGTCACTTTTTAAGCGTTTGTGTCACTTAAAAATTTTTTTTTTTAAAAAAGTGAATTTTTATTAAAAAAGATTACACAGTATTTTTTACTTCCAAAAAACTTTTCATATGATTTTTTCAAAACACCTCTAATTTTAAGCGTTTGTGTCACTTTTTTTGTGTTTATTATTTTTTTGAATTTGTGTCACTTTTTTTCAATTGTCACTTTTTAAGCGTTTGTGTGACTTTTTTTTTTATTTTTTTTTTGAATTGTCATTTTATATAGTATTTTTTACTTCCAAAAAACCTTTCAT